TAGCATGTTCTCCATGACTGCAGATGATCCTGTGTTGATGGCTGGGTTCCTCCTCTTCCTGAAGTTTCCGGTACCTTCCGGAACTGTCTCCTGACCTCTGGGCTAGTCCTAAGCATTCTGGTGTCTGCTAGGTTGGTCTCTGGTCCTAGGTCTGTCTGGTGAGGGTGCTCCTATTGCTGGCATACCCTGGACTGTTCCGGTAGGCCCATGTGCCAAACCAGTTTGGTGCATGACATCCGCCCCACAGTCGCACGGCCGTCCTCGGTCGTCACACTTCAATGGAAGTGGCTTCAAGTACGTCGACCAATAGGGAGATCATCAGAGTCTGACTCTTCCTCTATTTCCTCATCAATTTCTTCCTCCAATTCTTCTTCATCCCATTCGACATCCGTATTTTCTTCTGCTGGCTGTCTTCGTGAGGCACTTTCACCAATCATGCTGATTGGATCTGTGGCTAGATCATCCAGGTTTCTGCCTGAGGGGTCATAGGCGAGAAGCCTGAAGGCTGCTACACTCTCCCGAGAGACATCTCCATTGAGCTCCTTGATGACATATGCACCATTGCGGGTCTGCCGCACTACTTCAAATGGTCCTAGGTAGCGAGGCTTGTGTTTGCGGTTCATCTCCCGTTCAATGGCTGTGTTCCTGACAAGGACAAGGTCTCCTGGTCCAAAGGATTTCTTCTTCAGCTTGTGAGCAAAGCGTGTCTCAAAGTGCTCCTTGGATGTGATGCGAGTCTTGCGGAGTATGTCTGCTGCATGCGCTACATCTTCTGGTCTCCTCTCCAATTGGCGGATGCGCAGTGCCAATAGGTCTGAGTGAGACATTCCTTGGTGGAATCCTTGCACCATGAAGGTCGACTCTCGTAGGTCCATGGGTAGGATAGGGTGTACTCCATGCAATAGGAAGTAAGGGCTGAAACCGGTTGATCGTCGGATGGTGATCCTGTCTGCGAACTGTGCATGTGGTAGTAGCTCCGGCCACCGGGATATTTCTCCTCCACAGGCCTTGATCAGGGATTCACGGAGGATAAAGTGGCCTCGTTCGACTACTCCATTGGCTTTGGAGTTGTACGGGGAGATGCGGATGTGGTGGATTCCGTACTTGTTGACTAGGGCTTCAAATGCGCCTTTGAATTCAGAGCCGTTGTCAGTGACTACGTGGTGAACAGCTCCATAGCGGCATATGATTTGCTCCCAGAAGAACTTGGCTACTTCTTTTGAGTTTGCGCTCCGTAAGGCTCGTGTTTCAGTGACTCCAGACAGGTCATCTCGGCATGCAATGATACAGGTATATCCTCGTGCTTTAGGCATGAACATGACATCCATGTGCACTTTGTAGAACAGGTCTACTGGGGTTGAGATAATGAGTGGGACTTCGACTTTCTGGTGCTTCGGATTTGGCATTCTCGGCATGAGCTGACATATTGACGGGTGTCTGAGTGGTAGAAGGGCCAGAAGA